AAACTTCGTAATCAATGCGCTTAAGATCTACAAACAAAAAGAAGTGTGCCAAACATATTTAACGTTCACCTACCACTCAAGATAAATAGAAATCGCAATAAAATTGTGTAGTAATACAGATAATTAAAACGAAATTACAAGAGAAATCTTTAAGTCTTGCTGATTACACTTAAGCAGTTTTTTTTTTCACGTACCAAAGCTTTGTCTTTAGGGTCCAGTTCTTTTCCACATTCGCTTTTTTCATTTGCAGACTTGATGACAGATATACCGAGTTGAACAGCTTGGCTAAGTTCACCTTTGTTGAGAAATTCATCCAGCTTGTTACCTTCCCCTACTACAAAACTTTTTAACTTGTTTGCAACTTGCTCGGGTGACGAAACACATGAATCAAGGCTTGATGATGGCTTTACCTGCAGACGAAAAGTTTTATTGTAGTCTTTTGTGAGAAAAATCGAAAATTTTTGTCCAGGGGTATGAGTTCCTATGAATTTAAATCAACATTACACATTTTTAATGGATCCTAGCAACGGTGCCGTAATATTAGATGATCTTGGAAGTTTTCTGCTGGAAAAACTTCAGAGGTCAGTAGGTACAGAAAAAACATACCGTTTATATAGATCAAAATTTTAAAACATGAAAATCTTTGGTTAAGTTCCAAATTTTTCTTGCTTTGTAATATCAATCACTGCACCTTGATAAATAATTTCTGTTCAACAGCTACCCCAACTGCATTTTTGATAACAATAGTGACTTCTAGCAGGAAATCTTTGTCCGGTAATCCTGTCGGTAACACTGTCGATACAGACGAGGGTGATGTGCCATAAGATATAGGCTCCTCTCCAAGGGTAAATTCATAAGTGAGCGGTAAGCTCGCATCCTGCCAATCGAAGCACTTGAAAGTAAACTCAGTCTCCAGTGAAACGCCTTCAGAGACTGACGTCGTGCAGTAACCACTGTGCGGCTCCCCTGCAGTTTCAAAGAGGAGCGTAGAAAACCCGTATGTCCCCTCCAGAGATTTTACAAATAATGTTAGATTGTATTTTGATTCAGATTGCAATGAATTCTTCTTGATAATCATATTAGTAGCATTTACAGCAGTTGAAGTCATATTGGGTAAAATAGATATGTTTACCCATTTTGAACCATTTAATTTGGACAAGCGCCATTCATAAGTGGATCCACTACAAGGAGAATTAGGACACTCTGATGTCACCCGGAGCTTGTTTGACGCAGATACTATTGCGCCACAATCCACGAAGCATCTAAGAAAAAAGAAAGTAAACTATAAAAAAGCAAAAACAAAGCAAAAAAAGAACATACACAAACATACACAAAAGCAAAAAGCAGTGAGGAGAATCGTCAAAACAGTTTCAGCTTCAATGGCACTTTATTGACTTAACGTAAATAGCTGAATTAAAATATGCCTACGCGCTTGAAAAAGGCGTTTCAGTTGCATAGCGATATGACTCTTTGAAACCAGTACCCGCCCGTCACTAGTGGAGCAGGTCTTTAAGAGCTATGCTGCACGTTGGCCAAACCTCGAGATACCTAATGAAGCTTTTAAGTCCAATTAACTGAAATTATTCTTAAGTTGCGAAAAAGATTTTAATCGTACTTTTAAATACCAATATAAATGCCAGCGTCTGTTTCCTCGAATCTCTCCGATATCTAATTTGTTTCCCAAGTAATTTAGAATCCGCCTGAGAATATTAAAAGTAAAAGTTAAAGCCTTTATACAGGCCCAAGTGGCCCATGGGGCCGGCGCTTAGCTCCGGTTTCTGTTTATTGTATTGCTACTCCCCCCTAGATGGGATGCTAGTCCATCGCAAGGTTACCCCCAGCACATTCGCTGGTACCCATTTGTATACCTGGGTGAAGAGAAGCACTGTGAGAGTAAAGTGTCTTGGCTAAGAACACAACCAATGACCCCGGCCGACTCGAGCCCGGACCACTCAATCCGAAGTCGAGCGCACTAACCACGAGGCCAACGCACCACCACGTGTGAACATTGGCCTGTCATAATTCGAAAAAAAAATTACCTGAGAGTCACCTGAGGTACCTCTCCAGCAGCTATAGCAAAGGACATTTCAGCAAATGAACTTCTCACATCCTTGGAAACGGTAAGTCGTAGCAAGTAAGTCTTATCGATTTCAAGTCCACTGGGATCAATTCTAATTACTGTGGAGCTTAAGTTTCCTTTACCATGAAATGAACCGAAACAAGTGTTGCTCACATTAGTGTTATTCCGACAGGTCCACGTGAAGTTGAGCCCAGTATGTGTTCCAGGACCAATATCAGCATCGTAACTCAGGGAACCATCCACAGTCACAATGTTTTTGGATCCCCATCGAACACTGCTTCCCCCATCAATGATTGCTCGCACTGGAGCTGCAATAACCTCGATGAAGCCATAATCAAAAGCATTGAGCATCCGTGGGGATTCTTGATCTCCAACTGTAATTGAGGCATTGAATTTGACTTGGTAGATACCTGCTGGTATGGATCGTCTGTTTATTGTCCACTCCGTTGTTCCTTGACTAACTAAAGTACCTAATGCTGACTCGGAAGCAGCTAGCTCCATTTCACTAACCACGCTCCATTCGAAAGTGCTTTTCAGTACAGTTAAGTCTTCATTTAGACCCTGTATCACGGCTTCCTGGACGCTTTTGACTGAACGATTTACAGGTGTGGCATGGTACTTGTCTTTTGAAATATTTCTGATGGTCACCGAGAAATCTCCTAAGAATGTATAGGAAAAACATCTTCTCTAGCTTTCAACCTCAAAGAAACAAGCTTTCTGTAACATGCTATCAACAACAAACTGAATTATCTTCTGGTGTTTTACACTAGGGTTTCTGTTATGAAGTATTCTAAGGCTTGGTTCACTTTACATCAAACGTTGAAATAAATGATAATTCTACTCCGACTACCTTGTTCGATTATAGAAATGTATAGACCTTGACGAAATGATTAATTTTCAGCCCAGTTTTGTTTCACTGAAACTTGAATTCAATCTTACCGTCTGGCTCACATGCTATTCCATCTCCAGTGTAGCCTTTGCGGCACTCGCAGCTGAAGGACCCCGCATTGTTAAAGCAGTGAGCAACTCCATGACAGTTGTGAGTTGAGGTTGCGCATTCATCGACATCTACATAATTCCATAAATGTGTTTAAGTCTTGTGACAAGGATAAGTGCCTCAGTAAATAAAAGACAGCAAGAAAGAATTGATCTTGCAAATATTTCCTACCAACACAACTTGTACCATTTCCTTCATATCCTTTGAAGCATGTGCAATTAAAAGATCCGATTTTGTTATTACAGACTGCCCATGGGTCGCAGTTGTGCACATTTGTGGTGCATTCGTTAATATCTATACGAAAAAGAGAAATACGTATTTAAGACTATATAGCTGTCAAACCTAATCTCAAAAAAAAAACATACAAAAAAAAAATTTATTTCTCGTGGCTTATATTCAAAAGAATGGGACATGGATGAGGTTTTGTTACTACTGTTGAGGTGTCAGACTGACAGTGACGATTATCAAATGACTCTTAAATTTTTCTAAAGAATGTTATGAAATAGATCTTGCTCATAGATATCAAAAGCTGTAAGATTACATTTTGAAAATGTCCATATTGTAAGGACAGGTATTCTGTCAATAGTATTGTTATTATTACCACCATTATCATTGTTGTCTTTTAATCAAGGTTATTATTTTAATCCTTTTCGATATTTCCGGTCGCATGAGTATCTACGGTCTTAACAGTTTCATCGGCGTAATGTCAAAGTTTACTAGAACGTTTAGTTAACAATTCATTCAGAATTTCAGCGGCAGAGTTCGTAAAGGTGAGCCAGAGATTTGAGCTTGTTATACGTACCATTGCAAAATCGTCCATCTCCAGAGTATCCAGGTAAACATCTACATGCAAATGATCCATTTCTGTCAGAGCACTTTGCCTCAGGAGCGCAGTCATCCAGTTTTTCCTTACACTCGTTTATATCTATGGATTTAGAGGTCATTATAAACGTAAACAATAGCTTGCATTAGATGAAATGAAACAACAAGTTGTTGTCAGATCCAATTTGGAAAATGGCCCTTGTTTGTAACCTCAAAGAAAATATTGACTTTATTTTGAAACGAGGAGGCAAGAATGATACCGAAAACATGACCACACATCCAAATCTTTAACGAGCTTACTTGTTGAGGCATATGTACGGGTTTTTTCAGTGACGATTAGTGAAATTTTCCATTTCCTAAATAATTTTCAAAACTTAGAAACATCAGCAAAACCCGCAAAATACTGAGTCTTTTGAAACTCCAACAAGGAATTCTTGATACCCGTTTTTTGTAATGGCACGCATTATCTTTCTGCATGAGAAGAAATTATTATTGATGGAACGATCTTGCCGGAGTTGGAGAATATTGTATAGCATACCCTATCCAAATTTGGAGTTAAACGTTGTTCGGCAAGTTGTAAAAGGTTATCGTGGTTCAAAGTGATATATAAGTCACTTTATTTGAGAAAATGGGCACGATACTAAGGTACGCTTCAATATCACAGGAAATGAGAGCGTACATGTAGGGATAAGATTGGGCTGAGCTGCATATCAATCTTTGAAGACTTATCCATATCTAAATTTTTCAAATATTTGACTGTTAACATCGTCTGTTCAGAAAAGGGTACCAGTTTTCGAGAGCGAGCACGATGAAAACTGGGAGCTTTGGAATACACATACTGTTAAAGAAAATATGTGCGAGCATATTTTCGAGCCCATTAGGAAATATTGACTTAATGATCTTTCAAATATTTTTTTTTCTTGGGACAAAATTTCATCGTCCACAGCTCTTTGGCAAGAAGGAAAAAGACGTTTATGCATCCTAAACAACAAAATGATACAATCCTCAAATTGTACATTCCGTTTGAAGGTTGCAGAGAATCAGTTGTCTCTATAACCGGGTATTTCCGGTTTCAGTTGAGACATATTTGAGCACGTGGAGTCAGTCAAATATCATACCAGCACAAATAACACCGTCTCCTGTAAATCCTTGAAGACAAGTGCAATTGAATGAACCCACAGTATTGCTACAATGTGCCATGTCGTGACAATTGTGTTTCTGCTCTTGACATTCATCCAAATCTGCAAAAATCATATCAGATTTAAGTTCCTATTTTTTTTGTCAGTCTGCCGAGTCGTACGTCCTACCATATGTCCGTCCTAAAGAGTATAGAGATCGTAATTCCTCGTACATTTCATTGTGCGTATGTGTGTGTTTCCTAACAGGACTAGTAGGCTGTTAGACAAATTCGCGCATTGATTGTATCGCATATGTTTTCCTACTTGGTATAAGGCTCCTTTTTTCGGGAAAAATTTTCTATAAAAGCAGAAGAGCATACGCGTTGTGACCAAAAGGTTCACGAGCCAAGTGGCTAGCACAACTTGAGCTCGGTTTCCCCAGCATGTTGTTGGATGATGGTTGTTACTTAGTCGGAGGTAATGGTACTTTAGCCCGCCGGAAGGAGAACCCATGAATCTATGTCTTGAACTTATCATCCTGCCTTAGGATGTTGCAAGGACAGTTTCCATCGGGGAATGGGAGATTACAACTGCATATGAGGCTTTAACGTCATTTTTGGGAGTGCTTCATACGAGGTGCGACTTAGTGACGACTTGACATGAAAGCTTATGTCCTACTGTTAAAATTACCTGAACAACCGAACAGCTCCACCTTCATGGCAATTTCCCCGTTCCAGTTAATTGGACGAAATCGGACGTAACGTCCCACGATGGAGGGATTTAAGTCGTGGTAAACTATTGAATATCTGTCAATATTTCCATCAAAAGCCTTGATGTATCAAAAAAATAAAAAAAAAGGAAAAGAATCTGCTGATTTTGTCGATCGAGAAAGTTATGATAATTAAATATCACTGACTTTTTATAAATTATTAGTCAGAATTTAAAGTGAAAAACAACTAAGGAGAAGTTGGTAGTTCTAGGTCAGCCTGGGACAGCAGTTTAAAAAGTAAAATCGTCTAGGTGGGAAAGTATAAAATTTTCATGCAAGATGTTGTTATGGAAAGGTAGAGATTTTGAATTTTAATTTTCTTTCTTCTGATGACATACCTAATTTGCCGCGCTCCCCGACCACTTCAAAAGGTTTTTAAAAATACTTCCGAATGTTTTATACAGATGTTCTATAACTATGGATGTATTGAGAGAATAAAAGGAGAAAAAAACAGCCAAATTCATGGTTTATATGAAAAAGAAGCCTCGTTAGTACTCTAATATAAGGAAACTGTGATGCTGCGTCGGTGGAAGGGTATAACATGATAATTTCGTCAGAGCGAAGTGAGCGGTAGTCCTTCGCTCTGACGAAGGACCAACGCTCGAAACGTTGGGTTTGAAACTCTTTACGGTGGCCAGTTGATAATACTAACTTACTCTGTAGCACTCTAATATACCTTTTTTACTGACTCCCCTTGTTCTATGTAGTAATGGAAGTTAATTTCGTCGTTACTATATTGTAGATTGTAGCTAGTAACCCATTTGCTCATGTCAGGGTTATTCAGTCCTTGAGTGGCAATTCTCGTTATGAGGATATCGTTTCCTAGCAAATCAATCTGAAGCCATTGGTCGGCATTGTTCGTGAGAGGCAACCAAGTTCCCTCTGAAGCTTTTAGTCTGGCCTTATTCGCCGCATGAGCTGCTTTCAGTTCTGAAGAGGCAGTAATTTGTCCATCAGAAATGGCACCGTTTTCCATACCAAAAGCATCTTGACATTCTTTAAATTTTCAGACAATAAACACAAAGTTTTAATTGAGAGTATATATTCATCTGCCTTCCTTGCCAAAACTGAGTTATAAAGGGACAAAAAGAAGTAGATCTTCATGGTAGAGCATATTCCAGCGGGAGATGGAGAGAAAAAGCGGGAGATGCTAATCAACTTTTAAACGTAAGGGGAAAATAACATTATTAGAGTCATTGTTAAAGATGTAAAAAAAACCCGATAAAATGAAATTAAGACTTACTGAGGCATATGTTTTGGGCGTAAAATGGAAAATGAGGTTTGGTGCTCTTACGCCTCAATGTTAAAGGAATGAAATGATTAAACATAATAACTTTCATTTAAGGAGAACACAAGATAACTGAATTGCGAATTACACGTCAATCAACGCATTACTCGTTATCAACAAATCGATTTCATCTTTACCTAAACAGCCGTACAGCTCTACTCGCATTGTTATCCAGCCATACCAAGCTGTCGGTCGGAAACGGATGTATCTTGCTCTAATTGGTGGAAAAAGATCATGGTACACGACAGTGTCTTTGTCTGTGTTTCCAACGAAATTCTAGAATGAAATGAACACGCTGAGAAACGTAAACTTGCTGTCTATGCTGCATGCACTGCATTCGTCTACCTTGGGTTGTCTGAACTGTTTAGGCCAAATTTAAATCTACCATTTTAAAAAAGTCCGCAAAAATCCGTTAGTGCCATAATCCGCGCGACATGAATGTCAGCCTTTATCAGAGAACATAACTTATTTCTTAAAGTGAACAACACTTTTGTTATCATCACTTAAACTACTTTCCGTCCTTGAAAAACGAAAATATCCACAGAACATTTAAGACTTAATTCTCTTATGAAATTGAGAGCTAACACTTTTTGGAGATTCTTCAGACTCTATTCCGAACGATTGTTAAGATAAAAGTGTGCTAAGAGCGAGATTACGAATCAAGTCACGTGATTTCTTACGTGATACGATGAAAAAAGGTACAAATCGCATGAAAAATCCTATTCTTAACGCTGTTGTTTCCAGAAAAGCTTAAGGGCTTTCAAAAAAGAATTGTCAAACCAGTCTCACCGCCTGCAGACGTTCGAGCGGACATGTTTGCTTTTATATCGTATACTGAACAATGTCACCTTCTTAAAGGCCAGAACAAGCCTTAAACATCTCTTGTAATGTCAGATTATCCACGGATTTAAATCATGGAGATCCAAGCCAGTTAAAATTCTCTGCTGTGCTTTTTGATATATTTACCTTATTCGTGATTTTAATTTTTCCGCAGTAATTTTAATTAGACTCTTTTAATTATTTTATTCCCCACAGAAAGAGGCTGTGGGATCAGCGCAGACTTTGGTGCTTATTCCCTGAAGCAACGCAGTGGTTCCTCTTAATTCACGCTGAATTTTATTCTTTCGAACTGATCGCTTAGAGAAGTGCATGGTTTGCCTCATATAGTGTATTTATTTTTTATAAAATCGCAGTTAATACAGATGGACTACTGATGAAGATTACTTAAGATAATTATCAAACCTTCGCTTCCATATGTCCACGTTCTCTATAAATGTGGAACTTTACTCCATCGTTGCTGTAAGTTAAATGGTAGTTTGTTACCCAGTAAAAAAACGTTCGACTGTTTCGTCCTTGCGTTGCAACCTTTGTTATTTTAACGTTTGAATTAATCAGCTCTATCTGGAGCCACTGGTTTTCATCATTTGTGCGAGCCACCCAAGCCCCTGCTTTGTAACCTGATTCTTTAAAGTGAAGTCTACCATTATGAGCAGCTTCATTGTGATCCCATTGCGAAGAGGCACTAATTTGCTTGCCGGCGATGGCCTTGCTCTCCATCCCTAGAGCTTCTGCACACCCTGAGTAGCATTAATGTTTTGTATTAAACACAAATATCATGTTTTTATTGCGATAGCTACTTCAAGTCAATTAACACATCATGTACACCAAGTTTTTACCGAATCAATGAAAACTAATGTAAAAAGCATTGAATACGGAAAGCTCTTTCCAGTAGGTGTGATAGTGTGTTCGGTTTATGAGAGAAAAAGGAGTCATAAGGTTAATGACTGGAACAGCAATGAACTTACCGAGAAGTCTGGAAAGTTTCTAAATTATTTGCAAGCAAAATCGAAAAATTTCCTTGACAACCTCAATTATGAGTTCAATTTCAACTTCAAGAGCAACCCCACATCAAAAGTGATTTAATTAAATTTGCCTTTTTACCCTCCTCTCTTACTCAGTTTCTTCGGAAATAACAACTGAGTTTTCAAAACACTTCTTGAAGCATTTATGAAAAGAAACATATAAATCGTAGCCTTTTGGCACAAACCCCAGTGGCACCACACGATATGAATTATATCTGATTCGTTTACGTTTTAACGTTTAAAGTTTCCACACATTTTATGCGTAATTAATTGCCACCGTGATTAGGCCGAAAAATAAGTTCTACCATCCTTGCCTTTATTGTAAGCTCATTTACAGATAGCAAACTTACTAACGGATCCGTAAACCTCAACTCTGAGACAGATATGACCTTTCCAAGTAACTGGAAGAAAACGAATGTATCTTGCATAAACTGGAACTTCCAATGGATGTTGGTTAATTGTGTTAGATCCACCTTCCCTGCGAAATTTCTGCCAAAATGAGAACATTTGATGAAGTGACATATTTTGGAAGATCCTCTATACTTAAAAAACAAAAATCTTGATGAGGATAAAAATTTCAGGCAGCTATGAGGAACATCTATACCCCCCCTTTTTTCCCATTTTGTTGTCCAAATTGAGAAGCAGTACATTGATGATCGCACCCTTTCGACCTCCTGACAGACGATTTTTTATCGCTCTAACTGAACAAGGGACCGACATCTCACAAAATTTCCACTATCAGGATTCTAACATGTAATAGTAAGCAACACACCAGACAGTTTATCAGAAGAAAACAAAAACCGTCTCACTCCAAGAAAAATTACGAAAACGACTTATTTCGACGAAACACCCCTCCCCCTATCTGCTTGTATAACGACGAACGACAACGCAATTCCTATGAGTTCAGTACATTAACCGAACAATAAAGTAGGTCTGCAACTCTCGGGAATCTTACAGCCAAGCAACTTCCGTCACCTACAGACTGATGATAGGCGACGTAGTTTGTTGTCTAAATTGAAGACAAAGACAAAAAGGAGCGGGTTAAAATATCAAATGCTCTGACTGTAATTAGTGTAACAAACGTAACTAACCCGATTGTTTGCTCATTTGGTAGCGCATTACATCAGTATCGCAAAGGTCATCCCGTAACGTCCTGAATTTTATTTTTTCGGGCCTTATTTTGACAACTGCTAAAGTAGCGTTCATTACTGCGAATATCGCTTTCATATTCATTTGGGTTAATCCTGGGTTCAAACTGTGTATTTTAAGATCTTATCGGACACCATCATAAAATGATAAATTTTCCGGGCTAAAACAATATTTTGGCGCAAATCGTACCACTTCTAAGTCGTTAGCACCCTTATAAGTTGGCCATACTTCCTCATAGGATTTAGAGTGCGCTAGTTTAAAGTCTATCACCCATTCATTGCCATTGATGTCTCCTTGGGTTGCAACAGCACACACTTCAATAACTTTCCCGAGATCGACTTGAAGCCACTGTTTATCATCATTTATTTCGGCGCACCACCCATCACCTCTGGTACCGTTCAGACGTCCATATGATGGTAGGGCTTTGTAACCTGGGCTTTGATAATGACTTGATGCCCTCAGGAAGCTGTCAAGGATGATACTTGAATTGGAAACTCCAACAGCATTACTGAAGCAGCTAGCAAAGGCTTCTGCGTTCCAAAAATTTGCATATTTCAGTAAATTTTTTTGCCTTCCTTATCACTGTTTATTCTTAACATAATATGCACGACATGTCGTAGCACAGAATTCTCTAGCTTTTAAAATTTAGGAAATTACGATACAACAATTGTGAGAAATCTATTTTAGAACCATTAATTCATTTCTCGCTTGAAGACATTTTTATGCTTGCCAATGGGTTGATATGGTGCGCGGAATAATTAAGAGGCCAGGTGGGCTGCTATCCCTATTCCCCATTTCACATCTTGATGTTAACACCAATTTAGGTTTAGGCTGAGCATGTTAAAAAGTAACTCATTTTGGCGCTCATGTTTTCTTTGTCAATTGATTCACTCAAACCGTTCAATTGGGTGAAAAATATCGCCACAAAAACAAATACAACTGTCTGTTGTTAACAAATTAATTTGTTTGAGCAAAAAATTCGATATCGCTTTGCCTCACTGGTCGATATTCATGTCTTTACGTCAAAAATTTTCTACTGATAATTCTTAACCGTTCAATTATTGCAAAGATTCAAATGCTGAATAATAACCAAAAAGTTTTAAAGATTCATAGAGTGAATTCTAAATTCATTTGTTTGAAAAATATTCGATATCGCTTTCGCATCTCACTGGTCTAAACATGTCTTTACGTCACACGATTTGTGTTTCTCATGAAATAATTCATTTACCATTTCAACAGAATTGCATGATTCAAGTGTGATTTCTAGAACAATTATCAAGAAAAACGGCAAACGCTTCGATTCTTTAAATTTCAGTGCCTGAGACTCGACGATGTATGGATTACCGCAGATGAAATACTTGCGTTAAATTACGTTTTCATGGCCTTAAGAGCTTGCGTAACAAGCTCTGCGCGAGGTTTATACATATTTTAGCCAGGTATCTTAACCTCGATAACACCCTGTAAACTGCTTTCTTCACTGAGACATCAAAGTTTCTTTGGGTACAAAAGCCCAAAAGTAATACATACCTCCACTTGCTAAGCCTTTGCTTATTACCACGATCAAGACTTGAACCTATAGGGCGGAAGGATATATTTTTAAAGGTAAAAAAATAGTTTTATGTCTCAGTATAGCAGAAGTACAAAGAAACCATATGTAAAGGCCGGCAGGCTGACCTGTAGCAAAATTAAAGGCCTTTGAAATTTCATTTTGTCGCTATTTCATCCGAAACCGATCAAAGGCATTTTTGTTATGTGAATATTGTTTACAAAACTCTCCTGATTTAATTTTTTACCGACAGGTTTCATTTCCCCGCTGAGATTGCACTTTAGAAAAAAAAACAATTAACCAGTTTTAAAATCAATTTCGCAATGGCCACGAAAAAGCATGTTTTAGAAATATTAGTAACGTAATTGAAGTAGGGAGACTGCGTAAATTTTTTATTACGCTTAACTTCGAATAATGAATCATTCCTGAAGAACAAAAAGAGTATTATCTTTTTTTCGGGAATATTAGACAAATTACTTCTTAAGATTGCGAAATTTTAGCTGTAAACAGGAGCCTCCAGGTTAAACAAAATATTGCATTGTGTTTTCTGCTAAGCTTAATGAACTGTAAATATATACTCCCTCTTACAGACAGTTACCTTGGATCTACCGACAATGGCGATAGCGGGGGTTCATAAACAGCTTGTATTGACAGTTTTCAATCAACACAGTCTCCCTAAAACAGTTCTTTTCTTAAAGGAAGTATTTAAATGTAGCTTCTAATTCTTGAAATAAAATGCTGTCTCGGTGTGTTCTTACTTATGTTCTTTTATTTTTAACCTTTTTTCCTCGTACATGGTTATTATAGTTTCCGCCGTTACACATCTTCACATTTCGATTGTTGTACAAAAACAAATATTTTGGCGGGCCTCTGCCTGAATAGCCTCTAATGAAGGGACTATGTCACACTGTGTTTTGTTCACTGTGGCTCCAGTTTGACACTTAAAAGGTGTCAAACTGCTTTTGTTCCCCAAAGTAAATTAACGAGAAGCAGAGTGTGAATCAGTAAAGGTCGACGAGCTCAGAGTGTGCAGACCGACTGATACAGGAGTGAGGAAGTGGGGGCTCGAGACCAATCGAAAGACCACTTTGTTTATTTGAGGACCAAGTCTAACCTTTACTATCTTTGCAATTTAACACACAGAAACGTTGATAACCTCTGTTTATCTTTCAGGGAGAACACTTATTGAAAAACTCCACTATTAATATAAAATAAGTAAGTTATTCCATCAAGCCGATTTAAAGTCATCATAACCACCTGTCCGTACAAAACCTTGCTCTTAAAATGCTTTTATACGTATATATTTGTTACTGAGATATTCATACATGCTGGCCCAGTTTGGCTCAAAGTTAATTTTAATGGGGGGCTGTATAAACAATGATAAGGCTAAGCCACAACACCGGTAGCTACGTTCCCTACCCTTCCAAAGGGAGTTCTTTAACGTTCCTGATAGCCAGTACAGAGGAAATGCTAGAGACGGAGCCTACGGTTTATCATACTCATGCGAGAAGACTAGAATGTCTAACTATTTTCCGATGTCATAGCAAAAGTGGCGCATTCTCCCCAGTTGTATTTACGATCCTGAGTGTTTGTCTGATCTGGAGCTTGAACGCTCGACCATCCTACGAGGATTATTATGCTTCGAGAAGTTAATTGTAAAAGCTCTTTTCTCCATATCGACAGATTGCAATAATGAAATTTTGTCAGTAGCGTATTAGTAATGCTTTATAAAGCGTGGAAACCCTGTATGTAATTCTTCGTCGATTGTTCCAGTAAAAAACAATTGTAATGGCAAATGCTTACGATATAATTTCGTTGTAACATAAAACTTCCTTTGAATAAAGGCGATTGATACCAGGCAAGAAAAATACGTCTACATAGGCTTAGGAGCATAAGTAACTTATTTCGCGCAAAGTTCATTGAATATCCTAATCTCGAAAAGGAAAACCCTGTTTCTAATTTTAGAGTATCCTAAACCTCTTCTAGTTACCACAGTCAAG